CCCTGCCCTTGGAGGTCAGGAGCAGACCGTGCTGCAGACCGCTGCTGATGTCAACGACCTTCTCGCCACGGGCGAGGCCGCTCGGTGTCAGGGTTCGAATGGTGCTGGGCTCGAGAAACGCTTGCGCCCGAGCTCCCAAAAAGGAAACCAGGAGGACGAGGAGGACGACGACTGCTGCGCCCGGGCTTGCGCCTTCTCAGCCGTATCTTGGTCGCCGAGCGAGGCCGGCACGGCATAGACTGCGCCATTGGAGGCCAGAGCGAGGATTCGATCGTCCGAGACAGCGATCTTGGTGAGGTTCTTGCCTTTGAGCGTCTCCGCGGGGCTGGGGTCGACTTGGGAGAAGCCGAGGCCCCATTGCACGAGGTTGCCCTCCTCGGTGACGGCGACGCCAAAGTTTTGCGTCAGCTTGACGTCCCGCAGAAGCTTTCCGTCAAAGTAAGGGATCCTCCTGGGGAGCTTGACGTAGGTCTCCTTCGACTGCTGGTCGACGACCTTGCCCGCGTTGGAGCCCCACGCATACACGCCGGGGTTCTCCCAGCTTTGGCGAACCTGCGCGTGCTGCGAGCTGATGATGTCCCGGTTGTGCTCCTTGGAGGTAGCCTGCTGTCGCTCCTTCTCAAACTTGATCTGCGCCTTGGGATGACAGGCTTGACTGCTTCGGCGTCGGTGCCGGGGAACAGGACGGGATAGTAGTAGGCGGCACCAGCGCCGGCGCCCAGAGCAAAGATGGCCAGGAATCCAGCCAGTCTCTTCCCGCCGCCTCCGTCCTGAGGATTGGGGCGAGAGCGGTTGCTGGCGTGACGAGCCCCTGTTTGCGGTTTCCGTGTGACTGGTCTCCCTGCTGCTCGCAGAGCTGGGAGGGTGCTTCTGTAGGCCCTCATGCTGTTCGACGACGATTGGCAATGTGGCAGCCGAATGAAGAGTCGATTTCTCGATGATGGACCTCCTCACGATGGATGCCGATTTTCTGGTGTCTGTATGTGTGAGTGTGAGTGTGTGTGTGTGTGTGTGTGTGTGTGTGTAACGGCAAGGACGATAGAGCTGGGTGAAGGCATACATACCCCCTCTTGGCTAAAATGTCGTGAGGTCATCCGG